CTAAGTAAGGTTATTTTAGATAAAATCAATTCCAATTTGAGACAAAAACTAAATTCAAATCAATGGAGAAATACGCAACAAGTAATTTCATGGTTTGGCAATATAAACGATAAAGACAGGCACAGTTTTATTTCATTTGATATTGTGGATTTTTACCCATCTATTTCCGAAAAACTTTTAAATGAAGCATTGGTCTGGGCTTCGGATTTGACTACTATTACCGAAAACGATATTTCAATAATAAAACATGCAAGAAAATCTCTACTTTTCGGCAACGGCAAATTATGGACAAAAAAAGACGGAAGCAACAGTTTATTTGACGTCACTATGGGTAGTTTCGACGGCGCAGAAATTTGTGAGCTGGTAGGCCTTTTCATTTTAAATCACTTAGGTAAGAGGTTTGGCAAGGAAAACATCTATATGGTATTGAGCACTGTTTGTGTTTCGTAAACCAAAATCTTAAGCTATATATATATATATATATATATATATATATATATATATATATATATATATATATATATATATATATATATATATATATATATATATATATATATATATATATATATATATATATATATATATATATACAGCTATTTCAATTAAGGTTGTCCACGAGCAAACCGGAAAGTCGAATACGAGCGCGAAAGGCTGCTGGGAATCGCTTTGAAAATTCATTAACTTTGTTAGCGATTCCCAGCAGCCTTTCGCGCTCGTATTCGACTTTTCCGCTTTGCTCGTGGACAACCTTAATTGAAACAGCTGTATATATATATATATATATATATATATATATATATATATATATATATATATATATATATATATATATATATATATATATATATATATATATATATATATTAAGATGAAAATGTTCTAGAGTGTGTATTATATAATTTCCATACCCAGCGCAAGCAGAAAGATGTTGTCTATATATATATATATATATATATATATATATATATATATATATATATATATATATATATATATATATATATATATATATATATATATATATATATATATATATCCCACCGGGCACACGACGTTGTTTCAACGTTGGAATTTGGTAGAAAAAAGGTTGCGACGTCGACAACCTAATATCTACGTTGCTCTGACGTTGTTTTACAAACATTGGTTCAACAGCAGCCAACAGACGTTGAATTAACGTTCATTCATGGTTAAATGTACGTCGTCGATTTGTGAACCAATCTCAACGTTGTTTTAACGTGGATTCAACGTTGAATTATGGTTGACGAGATTGGCAACCTAATTTCAACGTTGTTTCAACGTCGAAACAGTAACGTCGATCCAATTTGCATAGTCAACCCTTTTTCAACGTCTATCCAACGTCTGGAAGGTCATTTCCAACGTTGATTCAACGTCAGGATAAACGTCATTTTGCCCGCTGGATATATATATATATATATATATATATATATATATATATATATATATATATATATATATATATATATATATATATATATATATATATATATATATATATATATATATATATATATATATATATATATAGATCAATTCGAAAGTTCATCATCCCCCTCCCGGGCATACCCCGTGAATTTGACTTCAAATCTTCTCCAGGGAGTAGGAAATTTGACGTTCTAGGTCTTCCATGTGGTGGAGCATTTGATAACGGGGTGGGGAATTTGAACCGGAAGTCTTAAAATTTTGCCCGTTTTCGTGTGCTTCCTGCATGCACAGAAAATACTTCGCATTGGCGGCAAATACAGTTTTCTCAGATTTCGAGGGAAACAGCCTCAATTTTGTGAAAAACTGGCTCAAAGAAACGGGCATGGAAAATCTATGTGCTTCATTTGAAGGTATGTACTACATAATTGTGTAAAACTGTTAAATTTCCACAAGGTATCCAAACTTTTTACGTGAATTTCGCTATCTTGTCGAAAAACATTTCCGTATATTTTGTACTTTTGTATTTACTGTTTCATAATTTTCATATGAAGGTGGGGCATTTGAACGCTTAATTTCTTGTTACAGTGGGGCATTTGAAGACATTTTTTGCACAGGGGGTGGAGAATTTGATCAGTCAAATTTCAAAAAGTTCAAATTCCCGGGGTCGGCCCGGGGGGGATGGTGAAGTTTCGAATTGATCGATACATAAGCTTTTAGAATACGGGCGTTAATTAACATTTTTTTACGTTTTCTAATTTTCTCTGCAAAAGGCCGTGGCTGATGCATGTGGGCCTCTAACTGTCGGGGGCCCTTAGTTTTTGAACCAATTAACCCTACCTAATGAGCGTTACACCACTGTGTAAACTATAAAATGTGTCTAGCCCATTGCATAATTTATGCTGATACACAACTTAATTATTAGTATTATTTTTTTTTGCTCAAGGATCCACTGAAAATCACTCTTCTGAGTGGACCTCCTAATTAAATACTGGAATTAATATTATATTAGATTTTGCATGGAAGATTGACATTTCTCCTCATGTAGTGGTAATTAATACGTGATAACTCCAGTTAAATCTCCTTCATTTGTTTATAGAATAATAAGTTTAATGGGATTAATAGTTGTTTTACACCACAAAGTAAACTTCATAAACTAAAGGTCACGCCATGACGGAAAAGGGGTCAAACCATCGTTTGAAAGTTAATGAAATTGACTTTGGGTGGTTGTATATATAGGTTAGCCATGCAGGGCAGAACTGTAGTAATGGTTTTTCGCGGATGGAAATTTCAATCGTGCGAAGTTTGCCGTTTCTCAGTCATTTTGTAATACGCACGGGAAATTGATGCCGCTTTCTGAAAAAAGGTATCAATTTCCCGCGCGTAATACAAAATGACTGAAAAACGGCAAACTTCGCAGGGCTATATTATATGCGCATTTTGCAACATTTCGCAACGAAACTTCGGAATATTACTAATTTTGTGATGCTTTTTCGAGCCGTGATGAAACTTTTGTCTAGACTTTTCTAGATCAAAATTTTGTTCATTTGTATAGGTATATAATAGGTCCATTGAAGTATATCTGCGATTCTAAAATGAGCCAGATAACTTCAGTCCAGTTGCCACGAACTGACCACAAGCTCAGAATGTAATTATATCATGGGTGATCTCTGTGTATGTATGGTTAGAGTAAATTACACGTAATTTTGGGCGCCTCACTCGACAGAAGATGATGATCATGATGGTGTAAATAGGTTTTCTTGATCAAATGTCCGGTAAAAGCGAACTATTAAACACGATTTTCAGATCGAGTTGCTCAGAAATGCAACTATAGTCATTCACATAAAAAATCTGATATCGAAGCTTTGAGGGGACGAATCGCGTTTGTTTATGTTATATCAAGGCTTCAAAGACGTGTGAACAGCAGGGAATTATTTTGCACTGACGGGGAAAAACTCACAAGTGTTGGCGTTTTAAATTAAGCAATTGTATTTTCGCAGAATGAGCTTCAAACTGATTGGTCACCAGTGAATAACACCAAGTCGCGCTAATTAGGATAAATTTGCTTGGGTGTCTGTTTCGGCGGCAACGCATTGCTATCTAAGCGGGAGATTTATCTGGTGAAAAGAAAGAAATTTCTAGATTTGAATGTATTTCGTTTAATTACTTTTAAATTTATCTTGTTTTCAAGTTGACATTGTGTTTGGTTAACGATCACGGAAGCTTCCGGTATTTTTCCTGAATAAAGCTCTCGCAAAGCTAGACTAACTATATACCAAAAATAAAAGTTGAAATTAATCTATTTCAAATTGCAAACTACGTTTTTCGCAGCTTTTCACCGAATTGCACGGTCGTAAGTTCAATTCTACACGCGTAAACCAACCAAGTTGTTGATAAGTCTGGAACAAGTTGCTATTATAATTATCTTGTAACATGGTTAACTGATGAGGCTAGCAGACTCGCAACAAGTTGTTCAGTCCAAGAAGTCTGCAGATCAACAATCTCGTAGCAACTTGTTACGAACATCCTGTATTAGTCTTGTTGGGACAACTTGTAACCGTCTGTCACCGTCATCAAGCTTGTAAGGCCTTGTAACAATGTGATAACAACTTGTTCCAGGCTTCTCACAACACTGGGAACATTAACAAGCAGTGCGAACGCATCCTGATATCGGTTTGACAACAACCTTGTTACAACTTGCCACAACAGATCTGAAACAACTTGCGCGTTTTTGCGTATGTAAACCTATAGAATGTACAAGGGAACATCTTTTTCCATTGAGGCATTTCGAGAGGAATATTTAATGGAAGTTGTTTCTAATTTATGTCAAAATCGCCGGTGGAAAAAATGTGTCAAAATCGCCTATTATTTTCCACGGAAGGTCAAAGATACAAGCACCTATGCGTGTGTTACAAGAGCCGGAAGAGAAACCATTTAGTAATGGCTCCAACGCACTTGTAGATTGACGAAGAAGTTTCATTGTTCAACAGAAAGCATGTTGTGAATTATCGAGGTTATTAGCCGGGCGAGGTGACAATAGAGTGCTTGGGAATTAATATTTTTATGCCCTCCGTTTGCAACCGACTTAAATGAAGGTATGATATATATGAGATTATATTGAGAATAAATTTGTAATAGAATAACTGGCAGCCAATATAATCGAACAACATTCAATAAACAGCCAATATATTCAGTCAACAAGCGGGTTTCATCGGTTCTGCGTGATGATTTCATAATGAAAACATACTTTACGCTGGTTCTCCTTCATTGGTTCTTTTAAACCAACAAATAAAGGTTCAAATAAGCGGGATTGTCTGCACGGGTAATTACGAAATACCACAAAACGAACTCATGGGAATATTTCACGTGAGAACTCGTCAATAATTAGTGGGTGGATTTGGAAACAAAAGAGTTTTTGTAACACCGTTTGCAAAGGGAACCGACCAAGAACCATCTAGAATCTATTATATCTGATGCTCAGAAGATAGAATAGTGAAATTGTATGTGCCATCGATGGAGAAAATTTCGGAGGTGGAAAAAATTTTGCCTGTCGTTGCTAGCATAGGTTTATCATGTCTATCATGGGTTTATTGAATTTGATAGATCTCAGCATTAATATCATGATAAAATTCATTATATCGAGGCAGGCAGACCTATAGCAAATTGCACGGCGATTTTTAAGTATAGAATCAGTTCGATAACTGTGGTACTTCGACTGACTGGGGGGCCTATATGTACATGTTGTAGTGATTATCGTTATTAAGTGGGAATGTCACTTTTGCATTCCAGAGGTCGAGAGAGTTAAATGATAGACATGCAGGGGTCAAAGAATTTCCCCTGAGTACCGAGAGCTTGAACTAATCGTGAACAAACAACTAATATCGCAAACAAAAATAACTTTTTAAATTCTAAAATTAGTATATCCTCGACTCTATATAAATCATTAGTAAATGTGTTACATTAATTTATAATTAGTTAGTTTAACAAAAATGTATAAAAATTGAAGTGTCTATCCACAAAAATCCTTCAACAGGCTAGTGATCAAGAGCCCCAAATCCGAATATTTATATATCCTAATATTCGTCTACCTCCCACCCCCCTAATTTTTCTTCCTCTCCCCTCCAGAACGCCCATCTTAATATTTTCAGTTGCGGTTACGTCAGGCTTCCATATGTGTCATGATCTTTCTCAACGGCCAGTCTATAATAGTTTATACCTGCAAACCACATATAAATCATAAGTATTCTCTAGTACGTTATAACCACTCCGCGTATTTTTAGTTCTACAATGTTGTATTTCTGCTGCCCGAGAAAGATCGTGACTCTATGGCAGCGTTTATACTGTACCGTTTTCGTAGCGTTCTCGTATTGTTCGAGAGAACTAGACTATTGTCTTGCGGTCCCTTGAGGATTAAGAACAATACGAGAACGCTACGAAAACGGTACAGTGTAAACGCTGCCTAAATCTTTACGACCGTTATACGACCATATGGAAACCAGGCTTTTTAGAGGTTGACAACTGGACTCTGAATACTCAGTTGGTTAGAGCGCTTCAGTTTCGATTCTTGCCAGAGGCAGAGCCCAGAGGGCCTATATACTGTACTAGTTTTTCGTAATTGCTCCTAGTTTGGTTAAGTTTGATTGCCATATACATTTTCATTGTTTATTATATAACAAGCAAGTCGGAAGCCAGCAGACATGCATATAAAGAGCAACATGCATGGCAGTCCGAACTCCGAAGCAGTTAGCATCTCAAAAATCAGAACGTTTCTTAGGAATTTGAAGCAATCTCGATTTTATCACTACTCACTAGATTACATAAAGTTCGAGGATTCTAAGAATGTATCAATTAGGAGACTTAGAAGTCCAAATTCTTTTTTTTTCACAAGTATTTCCCGACAACCATACCAAATTTAGCTGCCGCAATTCGTGTACGATGATCTAATATTACTCACATGACGACCCTAAGTGGCACTTAAAGTTGAATTCGGCGCAGATAGTCACGGCATGCTGATCAGAAGAGCTTCATAAGGGTTTTAATTGATTTCATACATGCGATATTATGGTTTTCTGACACATTGTTTCCGTTTAGGAGGCTTTGATTTTGGCATGTTTTCACAATTTTCGCTCACTGAGTCACTGTCATAGAAAACTAAACTTACATATGGCAAAAAAAACATCCATTGTATTTTACTAATGGAGTCTAATGGTTACCAATAAACTCGATGCATTTAAATTCCAATGTGGTTGCAGTCATGCATTGTATAGGCTATAGCAGAATAAAGGACGTCAATTTGTCGAAATTGATAAGCGCAAATAATTGCTTGAAAGAATTGCAAATCACATTATGTTTGTGAAATCTGTGCTACAGTACGCCGTATTTTAGAGATTGCCAGGCATTGTCAAGATAACCACTTTTGCCGATGAATTTCGAAGCCGTGATTTTTGCCCACAAAATACCATACCAACAAATTAACACACCAGTATAACAACCTTGTCGGATTAGCGCCTTCTAAGGTCTTCTAAGCTAAGAATTCGCCTCGCTTTCATACAACACGGAATTCGCAAAGTACGAGGTGTGTCGGCGTATTGTCGCCCAAGATCAGAACGAAGAGAGACTTAATAGCTTTAATCCAATAGGAAAACGTAATTTAGGTTTAAGTATGGAATATTACTCGGGGAAATTATACAAACATTTACTTTGGATCTATAAGAACCAAATCTGTCGGAAGCTGTTGGAACAGTAGGTGAAAACCTCGGGGGGCTTACAATAATTACTCGATGTTTTGCCAATGAAGGCAAAACAAACTAAAATACCTTTGCTTGAAATTCTACCCCAACGAGCGTGCATTGAAATGTCGTTTGCGCTGGTGTCATTATGAACCGATTAAGTCGTCAAAAACATTGCCTTTGAAACAATTAACAGTTTTAATGGCCTCGACGTTGAAGGGGTATGCCGTCAAATAGTCAAATACTGCTGCGAGTGGATTAAATATCCCGTGGAAAATGCGCTAGAATTTATGTTTAATGTCATGGCTTCTCCGGGAGGTCGAAAAGCGCAGACATTTAAGACAATAACTGACATACGAGTTGTTTCTATGCTTGCATGGTGACATTCGGTGGGTATAACGCCGCGTCGACTTATTCCACATTGCTTTTGGTCTGCGAGACCGGATTTCATCAAATGCTTACAATATTATATTTAGAAATAAATAAACTCTCTTCACAAAACAAAACTATTTATAAAATCTGACAGAGGGTTCGCGAACACGTTGACCGCTGAAAGCCTTACGCAACAAACTAACAGTGTTGTATTATATAAGTATACAATATATGTTTTTTAAAATATGACCCCTAAAATGTCGCAACTAACCTTGGTCGTATGGTACTACATCTTCATTTAACACACTGCCAACGGTCCTCGCTTGTTGAAAAACTGTCAACACGAGTAATGTGACCACGAATTGAGCCATCATAAATAACCTAAATAAATGAGAAGAATCAATCAGAATTGCTAGTAATACTGCTGTACATTTTATAGTTTTAATAAGTGGACCGTTCCCTTCTGTAATACTAAACCATAAATTCTATTTTAACTTACTTCATTGGTATGGGGTATAGGAAAATGATTTACAGCATTACAAGTATGTATACAGTTTTGTACGTCACCCAGAACAAAGCTTCACTTGACCGATTACGGATCTAAATAAGCCCCAAGACGGATATGAAGTGAGCAGCGATCAGCTTTCGTATATTTGCATACTTGTTCATTGTAATGCAGGCAAGTCTACTCCGCCCCCAATGTGTGTATGAATGGGCAGAGGGTAATTAAGAAGTTCACAGGGCTACAGCTCTCCCGTTGGTACATATCTTCAACTTCATCTCGGATGACAAACAATATTGACCTAACTACTGCTAAGGACAACGTTTATACTAAACTCCAGCGTTGAAGGCGATGAACAATTTCGCGAACTCGGCGAGAAGATTTGAACACTGATATGGAAAAGACTTGGAGAAGGTCCTTCGCTCGAAACATCGAAATTCAGACTTCAAATTCTGTTTATATATCTTCGGGTTGTTTATCGCTCTCGCATCACAGCTGTTCGTTATCGTGGCTAGTAGTTGCACTGGCACCAATTCTTCGACTCGAGATTGTTTCTATCGAGATTCGAGAAAGCCTTTGTCTGCGGTAGTCAACAAACCTGGCTCGAATCCCGCGCGAGATAAGGAATTCTTCGCTGTTCTCTGCAGCCGTCAGAATGAATATTAAATTATTTTAAAATCCGATGCTTCTGAAATAGAATTGAAACAATCAGCGCGTCTTCCAAGACAAGTCTAGTCGCGAAAATATTTCGTGCATTCAAACGAGAAGTGAAAGTTGATGAGAGTTGGCAATCACGGCGGAATTGTTCCGGGGGACATTTTGAGTTCTAGATTAACAAAATAAAGGTTTAACGAGTGTTCCAACTATGTTTTAACTTGCATAGAATACATAATAAGTGTCGGAAAAGCATTAAGAACAGTTAACCAAAGTTGCTTAATTCCCAACTCTCATCAATGCAATCTCATCCTTCGTTTTATCCGGGTGGACGGGCTCAACTCTCCTGAGGTGAGGTTCCAAGGGACCGCTAGAAAGAAGAGGAGTATTCGTTGACACGTTGTTTACTTAGTATTTTCGTGAAAATATGCGAGTGTTATTCAACACACACAAAGGCATTCGCACCCTTAAAGTTTTCTTAATGTTGCACCCGTTTGTGTACTCAGCAAACAGATTAGAGCCTTTCGGATTAAGCAAACAATACGAAAGATAAACATTGCAAGGAGAGAATGCAAAATCCGGATACGGTGTATATTTGAATGAAAAGACACTAGCGCTGTAAGGCGCAATTGGGTACAACAGATCAGACAAATTGGCTAGGCCAGTGGCCAAACAAAAAGGCGGTAAAGCAACCATTGTTTGCTCGCTTTTTATCTCCGCAAACATTTTAATTACACGAGATAATGTTCCAATTTACTGATGATGAAATACACACGCCTTGATACCGGCAAGAGCTGATGAAGCCTATTCTAAATGTTGGGCATTTCGCCCACTAGAATAGAACGTCGAAGGTTTGCATATAGACAATGAACACAAGCGCGAACCGGTGTGCGTAGCGCATTCCACGTGAATGGGGTAATTTGGTTTATATCGTAATATCGGAGAAACTGGTCGGTCTAGAACGTCGGGACAAATTGCTGGATAAATATGCTTGTTAAGCCCGTTTTCCACTCACGTATTTCGCCGCCGCTGGCGAAAAATTTCGCCAGCGAGAAAGTTCATTTGTTGTTCTTTCGCGCCGTCAACGAAAGGTCAAACAGAAGATGAAAATTTTAAGCAACTGTAGCAGGAGAACAAATTTCTTCAGCGGCGAATGAATGCAAAAAAAAATATTTCTTTGTCAAAATTTTTCGCCAGCGGCGGCGAAATAACGGACATTAGAGAAAATGGACATTAGATGCCGTTCCGACATGACTTCGTGAAGTTCCGAAAAGTACTGTCTTTTGCAATGGACCATTTGCATTATAGACTAAATTTTGATCTAGACAAAAATTTCATCACAGCTTGAAAGAGCATCACAAAATTAGTAATATTCCAAAGTTTCGTTGCGATATGTTGTAAAATGCGGATAATATAGCCTTGCGAAGTTTGCTGTTTTTCAGTCATTTTGTATTACGCACGGGAAATTGACAGCCCAATCGGGTGTTGGGGCATCAATTTCCCGTTTGTAATCTAAAATGACTGAAAATTGCAAATTTCGCAAAGCTATATTATCCGCATTTTACAACATTTCGCAACGAAACTTTGCAATATTACTAATTTTGTGATGCTCTTTCAAGCTGTGATGAAATTTTCGTCTAGATCAAAATTTAGTCTATAATGCAAATGGTCCATTCCCCATCTTATTCCCCATCCGGCCTTTTCTAATAGGTCCCCATTTACAAATTCGTAAATTTTCCTGTTTTGGCTTTCCCAATACAGCTCCGAATAAAGCATAGGCGTACCGGGCGGGGGGGGGGGGCGGCAGCCCCCCCAGTTTTTTGGGCAGTCGGGCAATATTCGATCAACAGTCGGGCAATTTTGGCTTGCAATAAAAAAAAATGTGACAAATTCTGTAAATTTTGACTAAAATTAAGTCAATTTTTGGCAAATTTTGTGATTTTTCGAAAATTTTGTGTATGTTCCGAAAAATATTGGTTGTCCGGAAAAATTTTTTGGGGGGGGGGGCAAAATCCGGAAAAGTCGGGCAATTTTCTTTCCGCCCCCCTAATTTTTTCCTTCCGGTACGCCCATGGAATAAAGTGTAATCTAGAGAGTTGTACTCAGCGCTCTTCGCTATGTGACATGCTGCTATTTTATGGGTTTTTTTATGGAGTAATAAAATTTCTTTAAAATATCCCACCACCCCAAGTGGTTTAGGCTACGCAGCCTACGTTTAATTACACGGTACAGGATAGCTTTCCGTAGCAACGTGAAAAACCACCTATATCCGTACCTTTTAGCATGGATAATAAAATATATGGATAGGAAACTATAGCTGACGTGACCTAATGTTTTCAATGGGCTGATGGCGTGCATGGTTGGATGTTCAAACCTAGTTGCAAACCAAATTCTCAAAAACGGCATGTTTTAGCAATAATACGATGAAATCTCTAAGTATTCAATTCTACGATGAAATCTCTAAGTATTCCCAGTCAATTTTAGCAAATATTTCAAGTACTAAACAGGGAAAAATGCATCGCAAATTTCGTTAAAATTGGCGACGCCAATTTCGTAGCTACAAGTGTAAAAAAATACAAAACAAAGACGAAAAACATTTACCTTGAATACTTTGTCGTGGCTTAGGCATGTTTTTAAAACAATTAGGAACGCTATTTTAGAGGAATTATTGCGACGGAGAGATGTTGTTTCGTTCAGCTTCTGAAAGTTGTACATTTCATATCGGATATAGGAGCTTTTTCCCGCCGCTATCTAAAGCCTCCGGTAGAGTGTAAAACTGGCTCTAGTTTTTTTTTTATCAATCTGGACTATTGGTCTCAGTTCGTTTCTGGTTGTCCACACTTGGTAAAGACACGGCTCTGAATCTATTTGGGATCAATCTGAATCACAAGTGTATAATGACAATGTCTCTGAGCACACTTCACATTTGGAGTTATGATCAAGCAAACCATCAAGGAATCAAACCCGCTGAAAGAGTTAAAACGGTTAAAATTTGCAGTTTGCTGGTTGAAAAAGATTGAATGAAACACGCGAGATGAGGTTTATGTACTGCGGTAGAGCCGTAGAGGCGCTTCGTTTGTTGGAAAAAATTTGGGTTCTTCGGCTTCTACTAAATTTAGTCCCAAGCTATCAGTTTCAGATTGCTATATCTACGTTCACAGCCAGCAGTTTTGAAGATTAACAGATAAATGATGGTCAAAAGCCAAAATACAGGTCAGAGCAGGCCAAGAATAAACTGATTAGTTAAAGGTCCAATTTTTGCTGCAATTTTAAGGGCGATTTTTTCTTCTGAAGGGCGAGACATGGAAACATTTCGAAAGTGGAGGGGCATTGGCCAAAAGTGGCACTTTTGAATATGACCAAAATCAAACAATTTTATGTCGTTCACGAGCCGAACGAAAATTTTTGAAAATATGGAGTCTCTATAACGTCGGAAATGGCCTTTACAGAGTCTTTACTACTGGCAAAAGGGCACTTTCTTTCCAGCAAAAGAGGGCGTTCATCCAAGAAATACTTTTTTCGTTCTTTAAATGTGCGCACGTGTCCACAATAGTGATTTTAAGATACCCCGGTTTCGGTGTACGTAATATACGGATACAAGTAGTGTCATCTTGTTTACTAGTTTTTACTGATGTCTGTAATTCGATCATACTTTTTCTGTTTTCTTGCAATAGACCGATGATATAATGCGAAAAATGTGCACCTTAATTACGAGTAAAGGTCAGACAGACATGGACGAAAATATTGCTAACCAAAATCATGCTACCCGTACACCGAAACCGGGGTATCTTAAACTCACTATTGCCGTTCCCGGTTCCGCGGACCCTGGCCATGAATGTTCGGATGAGGGTACTTGTATAAAGAACATTCATAACTCATCTACTACTCTACTCGTTCACATCCATCAGAACAACAAAATCGCACTGTAATTGAGCCTTTAATCTTTACGCATGTTGAAGACTATAGCGAAGACTGCAATTATAGATACTATGTTATTTTTCATCGTGTGCTGAGTGCAACACCCGTATTCTAAAAGTTCCCTCACACTCACACTCAATGAGTGGAAGCCGTTCAATCTGAGCTTCTCTTGAGTGTCAATGCTGTTTTTGAATAGCTGGAGGGTGGGTAGTCACACAGTAAGGTATGACACGGTCACCAGCCCTCCAGCTATTCAAAAACAGCAAGCTAGGACACTCGAGGAAAGCTCATACTGAACTTCCACTCAAAGAGTGTGAATGAACGTTTGGAATACGGGCGTATGACTCGATGGGCTTTTTACAAGTCAACGACCGGGTCATTACTGTTCGTTTTGGTAAATATTTCGTTTGGTAAATCATTGGTTATCTCTGAATTCAAAGTGTTCTTTCCTGAGAATTGTTTGCTTTGGTGAATTTGTCGCAAATGACAACTGGTGATTAGCAGCATTCAACAACAGGAAAGCGATTTAGGCGCAGTTTTCCTAAACGGGGCGTCGCGGATGTTTTCTTAAAGGTGTAGTAATTGTTCGGTAACCTTTGCCGCGTGAACTGAAGCCTTTCAAACCGTGCCAAGGAAATCTCCGCGCATATCCGCTTAGCAGTTTTTAAAGCGGCAATCATAAGATATAATA